AAAAATAAAAATAAAAATCTGGCTTAAAGTTTCTGCGTGCGCCTTCCTCCCTCTTGTGAGGAATATATGTTGTTTGAAAAAAAATGCTGAACGACCCTAGGGCTTGTTAATGAGAGTATTAATTTAGTGCTAGCTTTCAATAATTTGGTTCATGCTCTTTTAAAGTCTTAGAAGTCATATTTGAAGTATATATGAGATTCCATGTCAGCCAAGAGGAATTCTGGTGATATTGGATGATCTTAAGAAAAAATCAATCAATTTTTAGACTAGATAACAAGAAACAGGATTTAGAGCTTGTTGGATAGATATGAAATCAAGGAAGGTTTGAAACTCAGGATCTAAATTCGGATATTGTTTTTAGATCCCTTCCATTTTGAATCACATAGGTGCAGTGATTCAAACTGGAAGGGACATATGGAGAAATTTTTTGCAGTCTTTTCTTTCTTTTCTTAAATTACTTTCATGAGAGTATCTGCACCAAGTTTCAGAAGTCGATAGTAATTCTACCTAATTCATTTGTTTTTGCCCTGTTTCTAGTTTTGATTGTGCAGATAGCATCTGTTGATTTGGTTTAGGTGATTCTGTTGTGGAAGTCTTGTATATATGTGATAAACATGGGCATGAGTTCACGAGACAATTTTTTCCCCATATTTTGGTTCTCAGGTTTGCTCTGATATAAACAAGCCAAATGGGCAGTTTGTTTTACCAAATAATCGGATGGCTGTGATGACATTTATATCCTCACTTCCTATACGAAAGGTAAATATAATTTTAAACTCATTTAATGTAATGGAAATTGTGTTCACAAAGTAGTTATATATGCTTATGAACTCAATACTACGGTTTATATTCTGACAAAGAAACATCACGGCAAACTCTATTTACAGATAGGAGGCATTGGTAAAGTCACTGAACATATTTTAAGGGATGCTTTGGGAATTAATACATCTGAGGAGATCGTACAAAAGGGCAGTTATATCTGTGCGCTGTTTTCTCAATCTACATCAGGTAGTACCCTTTTAATTACTTTCTATATCAGGAATTAATACTCCACCTGGACTGTGTTTGTGTGTTTGAACTAACTACACCAAAGTTGCGACTACTTCAGCCAAAAAAAGGGCGACCCCCTATTCAAGCCTAAAGAAGA